CGATCGATCCAGCGATCGAGCATTGGAAATTGCCTTTGATGGATGCCTTGGCAACACACTTATCCTTTTTCCAGGAGAAATTGTTGGCCAAACTCTATCGCGATCTGGGAATATTGTAGGTGTGAAAGCAAGTCAGTGGAAATTCCACAAAATGTAGCCACAATTTGTAAACGAATTGCAGCCGGAATGGACCATAGATCATGGTATTCTCAGGCTTTCCTTTCTTTGAGAGGTTTTTCTGCACTTCAATTGCATGAATCTTATGAAACAAAATGTGCTTTAATCAACATTTACACAATTTAGACAATGTCAGAGGGGGCCACACTTAAATTGAAATAAACTTGAGTGAACTTTAATTGTAATGCTTTTGAGGTGAAAAGTAAGGTCACTTGGAGCCAACATATTTTACATGGGAAAAGAGCAGCGTTGACCCTGAGCGAGCCATTCGAGGGAATCACCATGAACGCTGCCCTAAATGGCCAATGAAGGGCCAACTGTTCCAACTCTAAAGGTGTCGGAGACATGCAACTTTTTGGACTAGACAAGTGAACGACCCTGGGGCGCCTCTGCCTCCGCATTTGGCACTCTTCTTTTGGCCATAGGCTGTCATTTGGTTTAACATTTTATCAGTCACCTCCCTCAGCTGAGATATAATTTGACAAGCGCAACTTTTGGTTTTTATTGCCCAAGTGAACTGAAAACTGATTGCAAACTGAAACTGAAACTGAAACCGAAACCCGATACGCCTTCCAAGCTGCCTGCCTGCAGCACCGAGCACTCGAGCAACTTTTTGTGGCAGCCAAGTGGGCAAAGGCGGCGCGGCGTCAGCTTGCATTGCGTTGGATTCCAATCACACGCATATCACTCGCCACTCAAACCAAATAAATAATACCATAAACATCAGACAGCCAGCATTAAATGATTTCAATGCGAAAATCATTAGATGTCTGTCTGACAAATGGCAGAGCACTTCTCTGGGAAGCTGAATTGAATTTTTGTAAGGAAATTATTGGAGGAAACGTCTTTATATATTCAGTAATTGTAATCACCACAGGAAGCTACATTTTCATTCTATAAAGAAACAGAAGCCCTTGCAGCTTCCGAGTTAAGAGAGATCTCTGTCCGCAGTGTGTCTAGAATATTTTCTTTTAAATTCGATTTGTTTTCTTTCACACAAGGCTGTGGCATTCATTGAATAGTAAATCTTGTGCCTTGTGCTATGTCTTCCGAGGTTGTGTATTGCTGAAGCAGGAAGTGCAGCGTATGGCAACATTTTAGTCAGCCTGCGACTTCGATTCCGCTCTCAGTTTGCTGCTGCTGCTGCTGCTGCTGCTGGCTGTTGTTGTTGTTTGTGCCAACGAATGTATGACGGGACACACATTGAGGCATGCTGCCAGATGATTTAGTAGGCGTTGCAAACGCACGCCATATGCATGCAGCATGCGGCAGTCAGCCACTTAATGTTCTCTTTGCCAAGGAAGCAAAACAAGTAGCAGCGACCACAGTCGCGACTAAAGAAATACCCGCTACTGATTTGTAAGGGGGAATTTCTGAGGGAATTTCTGGCTGTATGAACATATGAAACAGGTTCAGCATCTACCCTGTCGTCAATCGACGAGCAGCGGGGTACGAGCAAACTTTTCGCGCCTGCTTTTCTCTCTGGAGAGACGCGTTCTGTGCCCCGTCCGTTCTTCGGTTCGGGCTCATTGGATTCAACGCATGCGCAAATTGCTCGCCGACTGCTCTGGCAATAAATTCATAAAAAATCATTAAGCTGCATTTTTAGCATGCAGAAAGAAGTGGATGCCACTTCACACACACACACACACACACACATGCACAAGTAGGAGGGGATCACCAGACTGGGATCTGGGCTGGGCCTGGACCATTGGAGATGTCGCATTCATTTCAGGCTTAAGCTTCAGCAGAGCATGGGAGGACATGCCCCCATAGGAATGATATCTTAAGCACATGGCCACCTCGTAAATTGGAATCGAAAGCGATCGACTAAAAGGGAATACAAGATGACTCAAGGATGAAGTTGTCAGCCATAAAATATATGTAAATATTAGAAGACCTTTGCGCTAATCTTTGACCAGAAATGGCAGAAATGGATCTCCATTTGGAAGAGAAAGGTAAAGAATTTATACAAGTTTCAGGTGTAGAATTGAGCGAACGATTTGCAGAGCTCTAGCGGAGATTGGGGGAATTTTGCATGCTGCAGAAGAGACTCTAGAGGCTCCAGAAGAACAAAGAGGAGGAACGAAGGAGAACGAATTCCCCAAAAGAGACGACAAATGACACCGCAAAGCAGAACTGAAACGAAAACAAAAATTATTTTAATGTTATGCTTCGCTTGGAGACTTTTTTTCGGTGCCCAATTTTTGGGAAGGCGTCAAGCGAATTGTTTGTTTATGCGAGTTGACAGTGAGACCAAACACCGAACAGCAAACACAATCCGCGAGACAAGAAATGAATGCGAGACGAGACGAGGGAGTGGCAAGCATGCTGAGCCGTGCAGAGAGTGAGTGAGAGAGAGAGAGAGAGATAGATGTACGAGATATAAGTTATTATGGAGATAAAAAAGATGTGCATATGGAAGATATTTATGCGACATTCGCATGCGGAATTAATATTCAGAGATATCTTCGAAAATGAATGCCCTCTCCTCCCCACACTGGCTGTCTGGCGATCGCTGTCCTTGTTAGAATCCCCTTCGAAGGTTGCTCAAGGTTAAGCTACACACAAATATTTATGTTTTTTTCCCCCTTCTTTGAAGGGGCAGCAACACACAAAACACAACAAAATCTCACTGCCGATTAAATCTTTTCCTCTTCAGCTTCGGCATTACCTTCAGTCTTCTCATCCATTCTGGCAGACTTATCGGCATCATATATCTGTGTTTATTTCTCTCTTTTGGTCTTTGAAGAACAACTTCACTTGGTTCAAGATTTGACAAGTGTTTTATATCGAAAGAAACTAATTTTGTATATAGATTGGAATTGAATTTACCGATTGGATCTATCCCTTGATGTACCTACAAATATTTCGAACTCTCCTTGACATTATTCTACCAGTTTTCCAGCCACCTCTTGCACACTTTGGGCTTTATTCCTATGCCAACTGTAGCTCTTCTCAAGTCAAGTACCAAAAGCCCCCTCCTGCTCCCCAGCCATTTGGTTTTTGTTTGTGTTACACCATTTAGGTTGAACCAGGCTTTGTCTGACGCAGATCTCTCTCTCTCTCTCCGACTTAAGTGGCGGACGTCATCGCAGCACTCCACTCTCAAGCGATCCACTCCCAGCCTCTCGCTGATCTGATCCGATGCGATCCGCACCCAGACCGACCACATGTGGAGTTTGTTGTGCACACACACAAACACACACACACACAGACATGATGGCTATGATGATCGTCGTGTCCGTGGTTTTTCGCTCCATGTTCTGGCAAATGTTTGCCATTTACCAGCAGCTACAACAGCAGCAGCTGGCCACTGGCCACTGGCTGCCGCTGCACTCTCTCCCTCTCTATCTCTCTGGACAAATCTACAGACTGGGAACAACATTTCTATTATTTATGTCCGTACCAGGAGAGCTCTAGCAGATCTCTTCCAGTTTTCACACTTTCCACACGGTCCGACGATAAAGAGCCGCGCTAAAGAGCTCTCTGCCTCTGCCTCTGCCTCTGCCTTGCTCTCTGCGTTGCATGTAGCAATTAAAAATAATTTGTTTGGCTTGTTTTGTGTCAAAAAACCATGGAAATGCATCATCATAATAATAATGTTGTTATCAGAATTGCATTTGCGTTCTTAATGCTTTCTTAGTTGTTTCCAGTTGAGCCTCAGGGGTCATCCATTGGGGAATTAAGACTTTGTGTTATGTTAATCCGAAGGTTAAGGGGTCCTTTCATGGGAATGTCTCTATTGGCTTGTGGCCTAGTAAAGCCCCCAAAATGCCATTAAACTTCCTCTGTCGCTGTGATTGACCCAGACCTTCAATACAGAAGTCGGGGAACTGGTTTCATTGACTCGAAGTGGCGGATAAGTCTTGAAACAAGCAAAAACAAGCGTAAAAATATATCCAGCAAATTCAGCAAAGTGTAAACTTATTTCCATCTGGCTTTGATTGAAAGGCAAATAAGCTGCCGGTATCGTTGAAAAAACACAGAGACAGATGCTTGAATACCTGGGGGATGGGCAATACCGACTTTTTATAATGAAAATCCATTTGACGACGACGCTGACAGCAAAGAGCGTAAATCATTTGCACAGACAGCAAATGCAAATCTTTGCAGATTAAAACAAAACAAAAAACCCGTATAAATAAACATCGAGCGAGGCAGACACACACAAAAACCTAAACCTGTCAAATCCACGATATCGTCCAAGATAAGCCACGGACCGGACCGCAGTCGCAAGCCTCTGCGGATCTCCACCCAATCTGGCCACCCGTCTCCTCCGCCACACGCGAATGTGAGTACTGTGTGAATATTTGTTTGAATTAAATGCCGATCGAGAAGCGTAATTGCGGCACATTTGCTTAAAATCAAATCCAATAAAAGCAGAAAATATTTTATGATAAAATCTCTGACGTTTTATCTGCGCAAGTTCAAACATTAATTGACTAGCCTGACATTAGCCGCGAGATTGAAGAGTGATCTCTGGTCTGGTCATCTACTCACACACAAATAAATTGGGTACGGAATATATTAAAAATCAAATGAAATACTATTTAATTTGTATTCTTTCTGGCTTGAAATGAAACCGGCTTCCAACATTCAATAGTTGCCCATACAGACATTCATTTAATGACCTGCAAATGTTATTTCGCGTTGTTATCAGAATCAATACAAAATATTATAATAATTATTGCCAGTGGCGCAACGACCTTGACTTTAAACATGGCTGATCTTTTGCACAGTTTGGCCAAAAGGAATTGCCGTCATACGATCACATTTTGCCAACTGAAGGTCTAACTGCTTGTGCTGTGGCCCCGCCCCAGTCCCCAGCCGTTTCTCATTTGCCATTGTGGCGGCTTTTGTTTATCGAGTTGCAATTAGGCCAGAATATTTTGTATTTTTTTATGTTAATTACACATTTTGTGTATTTTGATTGTCTACAAACTTCAGCAATGAAAACTCAGGTTTGATTCCACTTGAGCTCGGAACAAATGTCGGAAAGGTCATGAAAAGGTAAGGCAATGAAATGTTTCTGTAAGATTTGAACTTGCTTTTGGAGTGGTGTAGAGTAGAGTTTATGGTTCTGATTATTTCCATATTTTCTACTCTACTTGATGGCAGAAACCCGATCCGATCGACTCACTTCTTGACTGGTTTTGAGTGAAGTTTTTCCAGATACTTGGGGCCCCCACATACACATCATAATTCAATGCAAACTAATGACCGTTTCGTGGCTCATTGACAATTAATCAAAATTTAATTAAAAAGACAAAATGCCACATTAAAGTATGCACTTTACTTTGTAGTTTCTTTGCTGTTTTGTTTATGTTTTTTCTACACTCAGGCAAGCAACAATTTATTGTGCTTGCATTTTGCCTCGATGCAAATGTGTCGCCAACGTGCAAAATGTTAAATTGTTTTTACCACTAATGCCGCCGTCAACGGGCAGACAAGTACGAGTATGCACTCGTAATCACACGAGTATACTCATACTGGCACTCACATGGCTCCGGGCCTGCTTTTTGTTGCCTGTGTGTGGGCCGCAATTAGAGAAGAAGGTTGAATATGTGTGCGGGCTTAGGCCACTTGGAATGACTTGGCAGCACTGGCAACACCAGTGCGCTCTTTTTCATGTGTCCGTTCGCTTATGGGAAATTATATGCTTCTGCAATAATTAGATCGAAATGAGTGCAAATGTTGATAGATTTGAAGGGAATTATGCAATTTTTTGTATGCAACATTCCATAATTGTTCACCTGAGAAAAGAATTTCTGCTTGGGCAGCAGGCAGCACATGTTCAAATGTCGATACACAAAGTACACACAATCTCTGTGTATCTCTGGCTTCACTTCACAGATAGGTATTTATCTCAAGAGAGTGAGCGGCTGGTAGGGGCCTGAAAAGGTGGCAGTCGAGATTGTGATTGCACGCAAATTGAAGAATTTCCAACGTGGGAAAACGAGTTGTCGATCGACATCGCCCCGAAATCAAGTCAAGCTGAAAAGCGTTAAAAGCCTGAACAAACAACAAGGGAACGGAGTGGATAGAGCGAAAGACTGTGGCCAGCAAAACCACACAAAAGATACCACATACCAGATACAGATACAAAGATATTTATCCTAGACGTGGATATGGGTGAGTGCCGATTACGTTTGCATCTGACACTATTCGGATACAATTTTTGCCTGACAATTGTTGCAATTTTCAGTGATTGGCCTCTCACTCCTCCTCTCTCTCTCTCTCTCTTCACATCTTCTATGGTCTTGGCCTGCAGTTAATTGTCTATAATTATGCATTAATGAATGCATCTGGCCGGGAGCACGAAATCATGTTTGAAGAAAATTCTTGCATGAAATGTTGCATGCTCTAAGCCATGCCGCTGTGCAGCAGCCCCAACCCACCTCGTGTATGCAGATCGCATTCGCCCATTGAAAATTGATAAATTCTCAAATTGCACGCTTCGATCGCATGTCGTTGATTGTGATCGCAGTTCCAAATGATTTTCCATAGTTACTCCTTGCTCTTAGTCACAGATCATTGTGCATAGATGAGTGTGTACCCATAGAGATTATTCGTATGTGTAGAGGTACATGTGCTAACCTTACTCTAAATTGGGGGTTGGTTTTCATTCTGCTAGTGATCTGTTTGTAGAGAGAAATTTGCAAACAACATTCATGTCGTGTGCTCTCGTCGTTAAACTCTCTCATGTCTTCTCACACTCTTGTCAGCCGCCAAACTATTGCAAAAACCGACCCAAAAATTATCCCACGTTCCCAAAAAAAGCAGCGAAAGCAAACAGACAGTGTCCGGATTGATTGAACAATGTGAATTCAATAAAGAAATGTACAAAATCATTAAGAAAACATCCTACAAGACGTTGCACACACCAAAAAGTGTTTGTTAAAGACAACAAAAATAATTCACAATTTCTCCCAAGTTTTTAAGATAAATGAACCAAAAAGGAAACTTAAGAATTGGCATAAACTTATGTATTAATGCAATGCTTAAATATGAGATGGAAGCTAGAAAATTAATCAACTTCAGAAGGCTTTCTAAAATTTAAATTTAGTCCCAGTCTCTGGCTTCTTTTTCGTGTGTTTATCTGAAGGTTATCTTTATCTTAATTCAATGAAATCACATTGAAAAATGTTCTCATTTTCTAACATCAAATAAGATTATAAGATGTCAGCCATGTGGATAAATCAGCCTTCGCTGACATTGCTGGAACAACTGGTTTCAACAGAAGATCCAACAGCCATCGCGTGCTGCTCTTTCCGGTCTTAAAAATATCCAAAAGATCGTGAATACCAAATGAATATTTATACGCGGCTTAATTGCAGCGAGTGAGTTTGTCTAGGCTTGGTTTAGGCCAAATTACGGTCTGAGTTCAGTCAACCCGGGCCAACATAAATTCATAATTTTTGTTGATGAATGCCTTGCGGCTCATTAAATCAGGCAACCACACCACGCCACGCCACACCACTCATTTATTTTTTTTCTTTTTTTTTGGCCGGTTTTATGCGGCGAGTGAGAGTGACCGTGAATATTTTGTGTATGATTTTCAGGCATTTCATTTTGTGGTTCGAATGATTAATGCTAATTAGTTGCCACATGAAGCTGTATATGCAAATTAAAGTAAAAACCACGCAAAAAAACTGAAAATAATTAAGATGTTGGTATACTTTGGGTATTTGCTGCAAAAAAAATGATACATAGTTTCATTTGCATGAAATCCTATTTGCTGCTGGCATTTCTGCGGTGGAGATGCCTTCATTTATCATATTTGTCAATTTTGTAGGTCACGAGGGGACACCCCTGGTTAGGAAATTTACTCGATGATCACTGAGCACACTGATGGCCATGCTGTTGCAAAGATTTCAAATACTGCAACATCTTTGTAATAATTCGCAAAGCGCACTTATCCGAATAATCAAGCCATCAATGTGGACAATTGTTGTAATTAGCGAGACTAAAATGACCCTCTTTTGAGGTACATATTTAGCATTTAGTGGCAGAATTGTTGCCGACATAGTCGAGGGCATTGCCATCCTATTTGGCATTGCATAACACTCAACAATGTGCACCGTTACTTGGCTTGCTAATGAGCAGGCAACGCACGTAAAAGAGAGAGATGATCGGAAACAGAAGCACGAAGACATGCTAAGAAATGTGCATATTAAGATAAGAATGCGGAGAATGGTCAAAGCGAGAGAGAGAGAGCACGGTCCAGTGTCTGCCGAAAGTGTTCGGCCGCAAAGAGTGCCCCAAGAATGTTTTCGAGGCATCCAACATATCGGTTTGTGTATGTACTTACATGCACAAGTAAGCGCAACTGGTTACCGCCTCCCCCTTGATCGTACGTAGCCTCTTCGAGAAGATTCATTCTAAGCTTGTCAGTCTGGTTCTGGTTTTCTTTTCTCTCTTTTTTTCGTCGTTGTTATTTTGTGGGATGGCATGGCATCCATCGCCTTAAGCTCTGAAATGGGTCAATTTAGTGACAAGCGATGCGATGCTATGCCGTTCCACAAGTCTCTCTGCAGACAGTGACAAGTCTCGGGACGATTGAACTGCCCCATAGATGACATATGGCAGGCATTGGGTAGAGGATTTCGTGGTGGTTGTGTTGGTGGTAGCCACACATCAGTAGCTGTGTCATGTGGCATGAGCTTTCTCTTATCGCTGCTTGAAATAGTTCCTCACTTTAGTACAAATTCTATGCCGAATGGGGAACCGAATTCCCAGATGTATGAAGAGGAATCTTCCCCATAGAATTATAAGGAAAAGTTAACCCCACAAGTTATTTCATAGCTGATTATATTTGTTTACAGGAAATTCCAAATACAATATGTAATATTTCCGATTTTAAGTTCAAGTTTGCTGCACTTGAAACAGAGCAAAATACATTCGAAGCTTGATAGTCCGCCGGAGCTTGAACAAAAAAACAACTAAAGATAAACAAAATTCGAGATTGAGACGTTTGGGGAAGTCAATACTCATATATCGCCAGAAAACTGGGGCAGATAGTGGGGTAGATTGTGATTTTACATATTTCCAAGCAAACCCACCCACCCACCTCTGGTACCGTACGACAGTGGAGGTAATCAATTAAGCCCGAGAGTTATGGGACAGTCGAGGGCACTGGCGGTCAGCATTGAAGTACTACTACTGGAACTGGTGCCTGGTGCCTGGTGCCTTGTGCGTGGACGTGGGTGCCACTTTATTATATGGCTTACCGCATTTGAGTTATATTCGACTTGATTTTATTGCATTTCTGCTGACCGAAAACAAAAGCTAGCGATAATCAAGAGGCGGAAACTTCAAGGCGCAAATAAATTAGAGCAACAATAGGGGTCGCTCAGGTCGACTAGGTCTGGTCTGGTTTGGCATTTTTATCAATCGAACAATTATATCTTGAAGCCGACCTGGCGCACGGCAAAAGTACACAGCGAAGGCTTTTGGAGCGCCCAAGCGGTCCCAGCACGCAAAACCAGTCACGAACTGAGAGAGCAAAATGAGAACTAACTATTGAGGCAGATCGAAGATTGGATTGGGTACAAAACGCCTAAACTTATTAATTTAACCCAATTTACTACTCGTGTCGCAGCACCATGGTACAGCGAAAAGAAAAAACTGACCAAAGAGAAGAGCGATAAGGGACCCCAAAAGGAAAGAGAGGACCATGTACATGTACACATATACAAATGTATGTAAAATAGAACCGTTTTAAATTCAGTGCTTCTACATCAGCTGTTGGCTAGGTCAGGGTTTGTCGTTGGAGGAAAGAAAGCGTATACAACAAAGTTCTCTTAATACTTATGGTTTCTCTTTTGTGCACCTTTGAATGGCTTGTTAAATGACACTTACCTAGAGCAAATCCCAATCAAATGCAATTTCAGGCATAAGCACACAAATACTAAAACAGTTTCAATTTGGAGACTTCTTAAAGTTAACCAAATACGTAACTAATATTTTCACTGACACCTTATGGTACAATTTTTGTATAGATCACTACAACGCGTACGAATATCTGATCTACAAGGCTAGACAAATAGCTTTTCGCTTGGAATTAAGGCAAAACACAAGCCAAGGAGACGAGAAAATGCGCCAACAGAGACGAGACGGAGCAATGACAACCGCGCGCGGCCACAGAAAATCAAAGCTTAAATTGTAAACTTGTGTAAAAAACGGCAAGAGCAGAGTAGAGAGAGAACGCAGAGCTCAACCTCGTAAATGCTCGCTGATTGAGAGAGTTTACGTAGTGTGTGTGTGTGTGTGTGTATGTGGGAGTGAAAAAACCAGTTTGTTTGTGGCAAACTTGTTGCTCTCCCTCCATCTCTCTCGCTCTCTCGTGTCCATATGTGTATGTTTTATGCGTTTATGCTTTGCCAGCAACTTTTTAATTTAAAAGCCGTTGGCTGTTGCGTGTTTTCCTTTCTTCTGCTTCTTCTTCTTCTTCTTTCTTCTGTATCTGTCTTTGGCTGCTGCAGAATCAAAACAAACGCGCTTCTTTTCTTTCGTTCTTTGTTTTTGAATACCCTGCCAAAGGGTACATTTCCACATTGCCAATCACCGATACCGCAAAATATTCACATGCAGAAAAATGTCCATCATATGCACGTACATACATAAATACATATGTATGTATACATATGTAGCTGCGATAGGATCGATCACAAGTCAATAATTTGTTTGAGAGCCAAGACAGGTAAGATCGATCTGCAAGGGTATTAAGAGTTTCGGTATTTCTTTCATGTTTCGGATGTTGTTGCTGTTCTGCTTTGACTGTTCTGTTCCTTCACGTTTTTCGTTTTCGTTTCGTGTCGTTTCGTGGTACGTCCGTCCTAGCAGCTCATTAAACGTTTTACAGCTACTGTTCTCCCTCCCCATCCCGTGATTCTACACACACTCGCACACACGCACGTAATTAATTTCAATGGCCCCGAACCGTTTGGAGCTCAATTGTCCCGATAAGCAATCCCAGCCCCCGCCGTCGACTGATCGCTTTTGGCTTCGTGTTCTTAGGCGGACGGACTTGACTCTTTGGTTAATTGACTTTCGTCAAATCAAATTAATTTCTGTGTTTCCAATCGGGAAGTTCATCGCGGCTTTATGCATTAACAGCAGCCAGCTGGTGTTCTATACTATGTGGATCTTAATTGGTTATCTTTTACGTAGGCCTCAGCGGTAGGAAAATGAAGAGTTACGGTACTCATTGAGAGAGAGACTTTTTATATTGGTTAAAACTCACAACTGTTGAAATGCGCCACATTTCTTTATCTGACTGCAGGAAAGGTACATGAACTTGATGCCACATGAGCAGCATAAATGCAATTGGAGAGACCATGCCTTGTTCGGCTGGAAGCCGTCGGAAGACCGTTTATAAGGGATATGGTACATGTCAGTACTGACATGGATGCGCGTCGAGTGTACCCAGCGCCTGACAACCTGCAATCAAGCGCCAGCGGGCACGGCCCAGCATGCAACGAAAAAGCGTAGGCTTTGCAACTGAAATCATGCAGCGACATATGTACATATGTATGTATTTATGTATGTATGTATGTACATAAATGATGTGCCAAACAAACAAGGTTTCGCCCTAAGCCCTAACGGAGTCGGCCCCATAATGATGCAATGGCCCCATCATCAAGTTATTGCTGCTTCCTTGCCGCCGCCTTTAGTTGCACAAAGTCATGGTCTCAAGAACTGTTGTTGGTTCCCCAAGACCCCAATACGGATGGCAGCAAGAAACAATAACCACGACCGCAAGAAACAATTTAGTTGGCTCCAAAAAACGAGGCAAGCAGCGATCTGCCGTGCCATACAACTGCGAATGGAATTGAGGGGGGAAGCAGTCACCATAATTGTTAGAGTTTCAGTATATGCTTCCGTTCAAACTTCAACAATATAAAAGAATCCACATTGAAAGTTAAAATTATTTTAAAGCGTGCCACCTCCTGGCCGCAGCATCTGCTTCGGCACGAGCCAACCAGTCATTAACTTAGTGGTGGAAAGCAGACGGTTGCAGTTCCGATTAAGTGACAGGTTAAATGCAAAGCCATAAGTTTTGGCCCCAAACAGCACGAGCCCCGAACTTTTGCAGCCGGCTAAATGCAGCAGGAGAGACAGAAGTGACTGGCCTGGCTCGGGGGCTCCTCAAACCGGTTGCTATGATCCCACAGGCAGCAAACGCACACCAACTTCTGGGTTGCATCGACAACGACGATGCACGGAGATGCAACAGTTGTGGGGCAGCCAACCATTAGTCGTAATCTTTGGGCAATTGTCTTTGATTGTTGTCGTCCGTTCTGCCTTGGGCTGATTCCCAGCTGTCTGTGTTCGTACCCAGGTCAAATTTGCTTGATTAGCTAAAAATGCGTGCGAAGTCTCCACAGAGCGAATATTTTAGGCCAATTGTAGGCCTCAATCATTGCATTGGCATCAACTTACATGTAGTGTGTAGGCACTGCATAGTTCGAAGATTTTAAGCCCGAAGAACTAGAGCATATAGATTTTCCTCTGTGACTACATAATGTAGAAATGTTTTTTAAAAAATTGCATGTAAAAACATAAGACACACAACAAATGTTCATATAACACCGCGTTTTACAACCAGGGCTGCCATCTATCGATTATCATACATCCGATACTTCTCAGATACAAGTACTGCAAAACGCATGTTTCCGTGTTGAATAACGCCATCTGCAAAATGACAACATGGGATTACATTTATAGATGCAATTGTAAACAATTGCTCCTGCAGTACTATGATCTCTAAGAGGCACTCCACTCCCGTACTGCGGTCCAGGGCGATCAATGGCAGACCCATAAGTGCTGCCAGGACCGACCAGAAAACTCACGAGCGCCACAGGACGCATAGGAAACTAACGACCAGCAAAAGAACAGCACCAGAGACCGAATACGAAGAGGAAATGTCTGACGAGGATCCCTTGGCCGGTGAAACAGAGGTAAATATTTGTATGTGGCACAGTAGAACAGTCTACTAATTGTATCCCTCCCAGGCTGAGACTATAGAAGAACCGCCTGCCAAACGACCTCTCTTTCAACTGCTAAACGACGAGGATCCAGTCATATCTATGCCCACAGTCAACTCGAGAGATAACGAGTCAGTTGAAAAGACTTTCTTGCACGCGCCAAAGGATGAGTGCATATGGCAGATTAATAGCCTGAAATCTTCAGTAACCAAAAATCCATACAAACACAACCGCCATTCGCCTACGAAGACGATGTCTAGGCAGCGCTTTATCTGGAGCTCCGAGGCGACAAATAGGCTACTGCAATTGTGGGAAGAGAATTTGAATCAGTTTCGGGGAAAGAAGAAAAACAAAGAAATTTATAAAGAGATGCAACGTCAAATGCTCGACTGTGGGGCACCTAGTCAGGTTGAGATTAACAGTAAAATGGATAACCTGACCAGGAAGTATCGGTAAATCTATCTAAATTTAAAAGCAGACAATTATTAATAGTTTTCCCACCCACAGCGTTGAAGCTGAGAAAGTCAGAGAAAGCGGGGTACCCTCCCAGTGGTTGCTTTTCCACACAATTCAAAAACTGCTAATTGGTACCAAGTCCGTTAATGTTTTTGAGGACATTATGTTCGAGAAAAATGGAGAAACCAATTTGGCGTCTGATGAAAATTCTTGTTTGGGTTCCCCAGCTTCCAGTTACAAAACTGGTCAACAGGAAGAGGACCAGATGGAAGACGAGGAACCCCAAGAGGATACATATGCAGAGATATATGACAAAGAAGACCCAGATGAATTTACGGAAGATCAAGATGAGAGAAACACCTCCCCCTCAGAGTTCGAAAGTGAATTGAATGTGAAAGAAAGTATATCAGAGCGATTGCTGGAAATCGAAGAGGAAAAGTTGTCCATAGAGCGAGAGAAGCTGAATATAATGAAAGCGGCTGTTCGGGAATTGTCCCAGTTCCATAAAGACATATTGAAACATTTAAATCAAAATAAGCAAATAAAATAAGTACAAGTCCAAGACGTTCAACAGCTGACAACTCGTTCCATGAGAGTATCGATACCAATTTCTTATCGATGAATGTTTACATTACTAGCGTTATGGCCGACCAGATGCAAACAATACAAGTTTTTATAAACAATTTACAAAATGATGCTAGACCTAATGAAACCCATCGCGAAATAGCACAGAAAATCAAGAATGGTGAATACAAACTTCTGCGGAAGAATCAACGAAGCACCGTTTGGAAGGTTTACCGCGAGATTATTGCATCCGATGGCAAGCCGCTTAGAACGGTATTCTTTTGCACCGGATGCAACCGCTTACTGAAATCGAGCAGTGGCAACACATCAAATCTCCGCATCCACAAATGTCACGTAGATTATATGAGACAGCTTTACAATGAAAGAAATGGTGGAAACGTCTTGGAGGACGAACAGGTAAGTGCCCATGCAGCCACAAAAATTGGATTTAGAAGGGTCTATTGCAGCAAATACAATGTATACATATGTAGGATGCCAATGATTATCAGCTGGAGTATACGCAAGAAGAGTTGAGGCAGCGCAGTTATCGCAGAAACAATCCCACCCGACACGAATGGTGTGCCAATGGCACCAAAATGCTTCTGCAGCTGTGGGCGACTTACACAAATGACTTGAGAGGCAAGCGCAAGAACAGCCACGTTCACAGAGAAATGGCCCATAAAATGAAGCATTTCGGAGCAACTGCAACCGAAGTCAAAGCCAAAATGGACAATATGACCAAAAAATATCGGTTTGTTTATTGCACATTCCTGACTGATTTAATAATTATAAATGATTGTTTGTTTAGCAAAGAGGCGAAAGATGTTAAATTGCTTGGAAGACCGTCTAGATGGGAGCATTTCTATAGACTGCAGTCGCTGCTAATGGGCACCAAAGCCGTGGATCTAAATAATGATTTGACGTTCGATTGCTCAGGCAAGTGCCGGAGATAGATCAATCAGAGAGACAATAAATAATCCCACTATTACCTTGTTGCCAGATGACGACACCCAAGCAATGGAGAGTGAAAACGAAGATGAAACGAATGCTGAAGAGGACAATTCTCAAGACGGGGAACAAGAGGATGTCCCAGATAACATGACAGAGGAAATAGAAGTCCTTGCTGTTCGACCGCCTCTGAGGAAGTACGCAGAGCCGGAACTGCCTTCCGCAAGATCCGCTTTGGAGGATTACGAAGATGAGCTGGACAAGCAGAACCTAATTATAGAACAAACCCACAAGGCGAAGCGGAAAAGAGCGGCTAGATTGCTGGAAATAGAAGAGGAAAAGCTGGCCATAGAGAGGGAAAAATTGCAGACGATGAAATACTTAAAGCAAGAGTTATCCTCTTTTCATAAGGACATGTTCAGGCTGCTCAGCCAAAACAACTAATCTACAATTGAATAATAATAATGTAAAAGTTAAACAAAACAAACATATGTTTGCTAATCGATATTTGTAATGTGACCAATTATCGTATCGCATGATTGCTTGCCAGTAATATTAAAAAGAAAAACCAAACTAGCAATTTGATTTTCATCGGTATATTTTATCGATAAATCCGAGGTCACACTGGATAACGCCGCCGCTACGACTGGACCCCCCACCCTTCCACAAACCAACACAAAAAATGTTTACAATAAATGCTCCCGAAGAAGAAAACTGCAAAGAGACACAGCTGGACATATTGTTAAAAATTAGCTCAGGCGAATACATTCTGCAGAAGAAGAAAAGACGCAGCTCGGTTTGGAATGTTTACCGGGAGATTGTACGTTCCGATGGCTCAAGGCTGAAATGGCGTTATTATTGCATGGGCTGCGAGCGGGTAATGCAGTCCACCGGTGGAACCACATCTAATCTCCGCATACACAAATGTCATGTCCGCTACCTGAAGGAAAACGGAAATTTATCTGCGGACGATGCGCCGAGTCCAGGCACCGACTCCGAGAACCTTCCAAATCGTATTGAAAACGAAAGGTTGGCCCCAAACAAGGTTGAATCCGATGGAACAAACCGACAACTGACCTACGCCGACCAATGCGAAGAATACTATGAGGATAAGCGGGCACCCAAAAGACAGTACAAAGCGATGGGCGTGGAGTTGTGCAATATTGATGAGTCAGAAACCATCGAAGAAGTTGTAAGTGCAGAATTAATAAGAAACAATTTTTAACTACTGATAATCACAACAGTGACATTGTCTCGGGTCTCTAGCAGGAGACGGATATAGTTCTTGGATTGGACTCCACTAATACGCGGCCGTTGCTGAAATTGTTTTCTGAAGACTCATGTTCGGTGGAAACGGAGGAGCAGTGCCCCATTGTGCTGGACAACGTGGTCAGTCCTCAAGCAGACTTCAAACGAGAGAAACTCCAGCCAAGTAAAACAACCTGCGCCCAGATGGATCCCAGTGCCCTAGCCGAGGCCGAGAGTTACGCACGTGCGTGGGCTCATGCATTTCTCAAGCTAAGCGAGGATCAAAAGTTCTATGCGAAGCGCTCCATTGATGAGCTGCTTGTGCTGGGTCGCCTGGAGAGATTGAACATATCCACCGTCACATCGCTGACGACAAACTTGTAAATTTGTCAACACCTTAGAGCCAAATTGCTGCCTAACTACATTTTGAATGCACGCGAAGATGTTACGTTCCTGTGACAGGTAGATTTTACACTGTGCCAATAGTAATTCAATTTTAAATCATGGCTTGGGGATGGTTGGGATATTTATCGCATTAAAAATAACATTTTTAAAGATAGCCAGACCAAAATAATAATTATACAAAGCTAATTGTAAATAAATGCAACCCAGAAATGTGTTTTTCAATTTTTTTATTTTTTCCAATATGTTTTTAAAGTTTTTTTGTATACTTTTCCTTTGTTGCCATTTTGCATTTGTTGTATGTAATGTTGTAGACTTATCGCTTTGCTCTTTTCTCAGTTTCATTATGAAGTTTTGCTGTGAATTACATGATTCTCGTGTTTGCTCTCCGTTACCGATACTTCTCTCTCTCTCTTTGTTTCACTTTTCAGTTACAGTTATTTTAATTAAACGGTTTTCAACTTGCGATGGTTTTAATGGGGGGAGTGAGGCTGGGCTTGTGTTTGAGTGGTAAATAGTTCAACAAAACTATTTGTAAAACAATTGAAATTTAAAATAAAATCTAAACAAAAGAAAGACTGTATTTGAGTGTTTTTCTAGTGGTTTCTGGTTGACCTTTCTGAGAATTTCTGAGCATATTTGAATTTATTGCTTTCTATAATACACTTCAATTTTCGGGAGCTTCAAGTTAGAATTGGAAATTAGTTCTCTTTACTGCTGAATGGTATGGTGTGGTATGAGGTGTATGAAAGTTTCCCAAAACGGTAAACAAAGCAAAGGAACCAAATCTAAATAACGCTACGGCCGGCCCATATGTGGTTGCTCTTGCACTTGATGTTGGTTTTCTTTTTTCTTTTTTTTGAGTAATTTTTGTTGCATGTGCTGCTGCTTCTGGTGGTTGTGGTGGTGGTGATGGTTCTTCCTCTTGTCTGGATCTATGCAGTACTCTCTGTTGTTGTATTCTGCACCTCCTGGGCGCCATTCTATATAGGATTTTCGGTTGTTGGTAAGGGTAAATCATAAGAAATCAACTTAAACAACAAAATAATGGGTATGTGGAACATGAAGAGCTGTGTTATTGGATTGGTTTTGGTTACATTTATATTGTTAGACCCAAAGCCTCTTACTCTTATGTTAAGTATTACAATTATTCGTCCTTTCCTTCTGATGTTTTTAGTGGTTAATTATGAATGCATTTTAGTTAGTTGTTGTGTGTGAAGTGGTAGTGGAGGAGTGGTTACAATTTCTATGTTTGCCGACACCAAGTAGTTTTGTTGTTGTTGTTGCCGCCGCCATGCTGATTAGTTGTGTTTCTCTTTTGCTGTTGTTGTTGCTTTGGCGATGTATGTCAGTGGTGAATTAGTTCATTACCTGCTGTGGCTGCTGTTGCTGCTGCTCCAGACCACCGCCAGGACCATTCGGTTTCCGATTCTGGCGACGTGGACGCGGCTGCTGCTGGCGCGGCGGGCCCTGTCCTTGAACTGCAACAAAGGCAAAGCGATAAGTTAATAAAAGAATGGAAAATTGGAGAATGGTTTCGAGTTACTTGGTGCAGTGTACTCACTGTACTCCCCGCCATCGCGTCGTGGTGGTGGTGGCCCGTTGTTGTAGTTACGTCGGAAGAAGCGTCTCTGGGGTCCACCGGGGCCACCGGCGCCGCGACGAGGTCCCTCTCCACCGCGCTGCAAGCCCTCGGGATTCTGGTCGTGAACACCAGGATCGGCACTGCTGCCATCACCGCCACCCAGGCCGCGACGCTGCTGACGCGGGTAGAAGTTGTTGAAGCGCCTGGGTCCACCAGGGGGTCCGCCTGGACCACGGGGACCGCCGCGAGGTCCACCGGGGGGGCCGCTTGGGCCGCGACGATAATTCTGGCGGGGCTGGCGGGGTCCGGACTGCAGCTGCTGTTGTCCGTCGAGGGGCTGCTGTTGCTGCTGGTCCGGTGACTCCATCTCATCACCCTCCTCGCCATCCTTGCGGCGGCTGTTCTTCTTCATCCAGGGCCGGAAGTTGCGGCGCTTGTCCGCAGCAAACTGACTGCCGCGCACAGGCTCCCCAGACGGACCGGTGACATTGGCTGCCTCGTTGCCCTTCTCGCCAATAACGACATCGAACTCGACCACCTCTCCGTCGCCGACAGAGCGTACAGCCTTTTTCGGATTGTTGCGTGCAATGGCGCTCTGGTGTACGAAGACGTCCTCTTTGGTGTCGTTCCGGTTGATGAATCCGTAGCCGCTCTTCACGTTGAACCATTTGACGGTGCCGGTCACTTTGGTCGCTGCAATTGTGAGGTTAGAAACGTCATTGCTGGTTCGACTGAATGGAAAGGTTCGATTTCAATTTAGTTTCGATGCATGGATGATGCCTTCAAAATGCATTTAGTGTCCAATAGGCGCGGATACAAGCTCATGACACTGTGTCTGCGGCTGTGTATACAAATAAATTTACCAAAACAATGAACACACATACACATGAACATACTGTCACTCTCCATCTCTTTCTCTCTCTCTAAATATCTTACAAAGTCTCTTCGCAATGCGCGCGCGCAGAGAGGTCCAACAAATTGGGTTGCTCGGATGGGAGCAGGCAGGGGCATGAGGCAAATCAAACGTACGGGGGTGGGCACACCGGCGAAAGGCAAAATTTTCATTTCGTTTCTTTGCGGCCGGGTCGGGCTGGGGCCGCTTTTCATGAGGCGGCAGGCGGTGTGCCGGTGAACGTTCATATGTGTGTGCCGCCTTGCTATACAAAATGGCCGTCGTGCGTATATTTTAAGACACAAACACACACATACACGCAAAAACACACTCTGCATGTGTACACACACGCACATTATATTTTTTCATTCCTTTCATTGCTATTTTGGTTGAACTAGCGGTGGCCATGTGTTTGCGTATGAATGAAAAGCAAAACCATTTACGTTCGCTCTTACCAATAATTTCCTTGGGCGGCGGAGCTGGCTTGCCCTCTCCCTGCTGGCCATCGTCCTCTTGCTGTTCCTCCTCTGCCAGCGGCTGCTGTTGTTCAATGGGCAGCAGCTGCTGCGGTTTGTTCTCAGAGTCTGCCATCTTTTCGTTGTTGTTCTCACCCGCACTCGACGAACACGCGCTTCCAAAAATAAAAGGAAGAAAAATAAACTGCTACCGCTTTTGAGGTGTCAGCCAAGTTTTCCCTGGCTATGCGATGCGATTCGATGCGATGCTATGCTCAAAAGCCGCAACTCTTTTATTTTCCGCTTAATTCTTTTGGGACTGATGGTCTGTGTTTGTCGTTGGTGTTGTTATTGTTGCTGGCAGTTGATGCGGTCAGTTGTGGCACTCTTTCAACTACCACTACCACTTTTGATGTTATTTTTGAGTGTGATCTTAAAACACTCGCCACTCGCAGGGTTTTTCTTTGCCGTATTTTGTTCGCAAGCGGAAGTGACAATGACAGCAAACTAGGGATGTTAAATATATATTGCTCTACAATATCGATATATTCCTTTTTGTAAAATATCTTTTTAGCTGATTTTCTAGGATATAATATCAAAAAAACCACGTTCTGACACTTTTTTTTGTCTGTTTCAAAGTTTTAAAATAAGTTGGATGTTCTCGCGACTTTTTATTCTACTTATCGATGAGTTTAAAAAAATATCGGTAATTTCCTGCGATAAGCAGAAGGAATTCGCGGTTTATTTCGAAAAAATTTTCAGTTTTCCAGCATAAATTCTAATAAAAATGATAAGCATGTTTCGAAAAAACCAACAAGTAAGCAATGTTTATTGGACTGAGTTTAAGCAAACTCTTAATTTGAGTGGAATGAGATACGCAAACGTTACGCTTAATTAGGGCCTCACGCAATCCTTATTGTTATAGAATGCCCCAGGGAGCTGAGGCCTTTCGTAATGGGTTTCGTTTACCTCCGGCAGTTGACTTTGAGATGAGGGAGTCACTGGTCGCACTGCTGCTCCTGCCAATAGTTTGTGCCGCTTCCCATTTTGCATCTGCGGAATGGAGGCTGGCGAGGATGAGCTGCCGCATCGTCATCCAGCAGAACACGCAGATCACCTACATCTACAGATGTGTCAGCTGCCTGGGCGCAAGCACACCCGAACATTTGGAACTGGAGTTGGAGCTGCATCGATGTGTGGGCAGTCAAGTGGCCACGGTGACGCGCCACATCGAGAGCCACGAACTGGAGCCCCTGCGTCGGACAGACAGCATAAGCATCTTTCATATTCCCGCTGGAAACGATGGGGATGCCCTGGTGCGTCGCATAATAAATATGCTCAATCCGAGACAGCCTCGCAAGCACCTCCACAAATACATCTTTCTCTGGCCCGGCGCCAGTATGGAGCAGCTGCAGGACCTCTTCTCTGGATGCTGGGCGAAGCAGTTGTTGTTTGGGCTGGCGATCACTCGAGTGGACGATGGCATCTTTGACTTTGATCCCTTTGCCGAGGGTGGTCTTCGGGTGGTGCAGCAACGCGATCACTCTGCTAGCTACTCCGACAAGCTGAAGGATATGCGAGGATTCGAGCTGCGCTACTCCATGTTCGCGGATCCCCTAATGGCCATACCGATACAACCGGTGGCGAGATACGGATACGGAGCAGTCGATGGAGTAGCAGCCCGCGTGGCCGCAGAGATTCTAAACGCCAGCGTGACCTACGTGCTGCCCGAGGACAATGAGTCCTACGGCCGCTGTCTTCCAAATGGAAGCTTCACTGGCGTAGTCAAGGATCTCACCAGCGACAAGACGCACTTTGGTCCCAACTCACGCTTTGTCCTGGACTGCATGTGGCCACAGGTGGAGGTTCTATATCCACACACGCGCAGAATGCTCTATCTGGTGGTGCCTGCGTCGGACATTCAGCCGGAGTACCTGATCTTTCTTCGGGTCTTTCGACGGTCCGTGTGGCATCTTCTGCTGGCCAACTTCCTGCTGGTCGTCCTCTTCTTCTGGCTGTTGCAGCGATTGCAGAAGCGAGTGCCAAGGAGATGGGATATGGGGCGGAGATTCCCTTTTGCTCGTTGGTACGAGATTGTCGAAACCTTTGGCAAGTCCCATTTGGGGGAGCCTGTGGAAAGATTCTCGCAGATCAGCTCGATGCGGGCCTTCCTCATGTGTTGGATTCTCTTCAGCTATGTCGTGACAACCATTTACTTTGCCAAACTGGAGAGCGCTTTTGTACGGCCAACATACGAGGCGCAGCTGGATAATTTGGATGGACTTTCCAGCCTCAATGTGCGCATCTATGCGGTGACGACCATCTTCGATGCGGTCAAGTCCACGCTGTCGGAGCGCCACTACAGCTTGTTGGCCAGCAGGAGCAGGCAATTGCCATTGGCCCTGACCACCTCCTATTACCAGCTGATAGTAAGTCGCAGGGATAGACGATCCGCTTTCATAATGAGAGATTTCCATGCGAGAGACTTCCTAGCCCTCACCTACAATGCCCAGGCGGATCGTCCCTCCTATCACATCGTTAAGGAGTACCTTAGGTCCATGTTGTGCACATACATTATGCCGCTGGGTTCGCCTTTCCTTTACAAGTTTCAGTCGCTCTTTACGGGCTTTCATGAGCACGGATTCTACGAGCATTGGCGCCAAATGGACTTAATTACTAGGGATGGCACATCGCCCAATGCAGAGGAGTTTTATGAGGAGTTGGGCGACCAAACGGATACGGATCCTGCTGTCGCCGACGCCGCAGGCAATCGACGGAAGAAACATGTGGTGCTCACACTTGATGTATTGCAGGGTGCTTTCTATTTGTGGTCGCTGGGTATTGTCCTGAGCAGCTTTGGCTTTCTGCTGGAGCATGGCTATTGCTTTTGGAAAACGCAACAACACAAACCTTACAATATCACTTAAATTTTTAACGAAATACAAATATGTACCATCGATTGCACATCACCAATTTTTATTTTTCGGAGTTGCATGTGTGGCATATCGATAGTATAAAACGTTTCCTCTTCGTGTCCGGCAACACTTCGAAACAGCTGATAATAACTTAAAAGCGCAAACGTATTTCGGTCGCTGCAAACACAATTGCATTTGTTTATTAATCAATCAAAGATATAGCAGCAGTATACATCAACATGAACCTTATCTAGTGGGGACCAAGTGTATCCTCAGTGTATCTGTAGCTACAGTGGTAGTTATGGCAAAATCAAAGCAAAAGTGAACTTCAGAATAGTTAAAAGGTTAATATAATGGGATTTTTAAAGTCGTGGTAGCGAAGTGCAAGTTTCAGTAACGTAAATCAAACAATTAGGAGAATATTCCACTAAAAATGTTCCATTAGAGCGGCAAGAGCCAAAGGTGGCGTCACATCGTATGATCCATTCGAGCGCTCTGATTGGTCGAAAGCGCGTTTGCATGCTTTCCCGCTCGCGTATGAGTGCCTCCCTGGGCACAGTGTCCTCAGCAGTGGTTAAAAAGCTGCCAAGCTTGGAAATCACTGGACTTACAGCTAACCAATTTGCACTGAGGACTCTGCCTCCCATTCAGTCGTAATAAAACGACATTAATACTCGCACACAGTTGTACCCACACATTCATACATATCTGAAAACAGATTTCACAGCGTTCAAATAAGTATGGAACCACTGTTGTGTTGTTGGTCAATGTGTAATTGCGCCGCTTAGAAATTTGATAAACAATCCGAAAGGAGACGTGTGTGTTTATATTAATTACACAATATTGTTGTTTTTTTTAGCAACTCAAGAGAATCTGCTATGGATCATAATAGCATGGACTTCATGTCCGGCCCCGTGGATGAGTCTTTGGACCTGTTCAAAGAGGACGATGCCTTCGACATGATCAACGAGGTTCTGCACCCGGACATGTTGGATAATTTCCTCAACGAAATGGACCTGGAACAGGCGCAAATGTACGAGAATATTTTACGCATGGATGAACCCCAGCCCATGGTGCAGCAGCAACAGAAGCAGCAGCAGCCACAGCAGCTACAGCTGATGCATCTTAAAAGCGAGCACTCTTCGCCAGTGCACATCAAGGAGGAGCTGCAATTGCCCTTTTATAATTTACTTCAGATACAACCTGAGCCCCCGCAGCAGCAGCAACCACAGAAGCCGCAGCAGATGGTCCTTAAAGCTCCCGTGCCCACCACGACTATACATCATATGGATGCGGGGAGGCTACCGCCTAATACAACACTCTACACGCCACCTCTGTCCAGTGGCTATGTGTACCAGAACTCATCCCCGCCCACGCCACCAGCCGAGTCGACTCCGCAAAGAATTCAGGTCATGTCCCCTCTTCAAGCACCTTCCCCATTGCCCACGCAAGCACAAGCACAACCCTTTATCATGTATACCCAGCCGATTGCCACTAATCCGGCTATTATGACATCTACTGATCAACCCATGTCGGCCATGACTACAACTGTGACCAGTCCCAAGCCCTCACCGCCCATCGCACCGAGCAGCGGCCACGGCAACGGAAACGGGAGTAGAGCTAGCAAGGGGCGAGTACCGGTGTTGGCACCGTCTCCAGCCACCGAAGCCACCAATCAATCAGTGACCGGAAAAGTGCCCATCAATAGAGTACAGCCCAAGGTTAAGGAAGTGTACGGCAAGCGTTCGGCCCACAATGCCATTGAGCGACGCTACCGCACGTCGATCAACGACAAGATCATCGAACTGAAGAACTTAGTGGTGGGGGATCAGGCCAAGCTGAACAAGTCGGCCGTGCTGCGCAAGTCGATTGACAAGATACGAGATCTGCAGCGTCAGACGAGCGAGCTGAAGTCAGAGCTGCAGCGTTTACAGCGAGAGTTGATGGCACGCGATGGTTCCCAAGTGAAGGATCTACTTCAGCGGGAGACGCGACCATGGCCCGTTCGTGGTGGCTCAAAGAAGCGTCGCGAGACATCTACCACTGATGCTGGTCTAACTCCTCCGCGTAGCGATGTCTCGGATCCCTCTCTCTCACCTCAGCATTCGGACATTTCATTGCCACCCTCGCCATACGGCGGATCCATCGCCAGCTGCAGCAGTGGCGGCGACAGCAACTGCAGCAAGGATGATCTGCTGGTGGTGCCTAGCTCTATGCGAGGCATGGCCACCCACTCGCGCCTGGGCCTGTGCATGTTTATGTTTGCGATTCTGGCAGTGAATCCCTTCAAGAGTTTCCTTCACGGCGGACAACACGGCGATGCGGATCACCTTGGAGGCGAACTGAGCCGTCAAAGGCGCATGATTCTCTCCTACGATGCGGATGGTGGTGAGTTTTTAGCCTCTCTCAGCCTCAGAATTCCTTATTCTAATTGAAATTTTTCGACTATTGTGGCAGATAATGTTGGCTGGCAGCACAGCTCCTGGCTATGGCTACTGAATTTAACGCTCATGTTGGGATGCCTCATCAAGCTGCTGGTCTATGGGGATCCGCAGTTGGATGCTCAGACAGATGCCTACTGGCAGCACAAGCAGCGAGCCGAGGCAGACTTTGCTGCGGGACAGGGAGAAAAGGCGTATGCCGGCTATCTGAATTGCCTGCACATGTTCGGGCTGAGCTTGCCGGCGACACGTTTGGAGTGTTACCTGCAGACTACCTGGCAGTTCTTGCGCTTCATTTTCCACAGACTCTGGCTTGGACGTGTGCTGTCGCGTCGCACCGGCGGCCTCTTCTGCAAGGCCGCCAATCGGAAGCAGGCTTTATCCTCGGCCCGAGAGCTGTCCCTGCTCTTTAATCGGCTCAATCAATTGCATCTGACTGGACATGGCAACCGCACGGACGGCAATGGAATTATGATGGCCCTGTATGCCAGCAATATGGCTGAGGTGGCCCACAATCTATTGACGCCCCGCGAGACCATCTGCATACATGTGACGACCGCTCTCCGTATGAAGCGTAGCGCACCCAAATGGCTGCAGTCACTCTTCGCCCTCTACTACATGGGTCGGGCGCGACAGGAGTGCGGCCGGACACGGGCTGCCGAACAGACGCAGGAACTTCGCTGGGCCTTTAGTGCCTATGGCTTCCGTTATTGCAGCAGCCATGACTTTATCTACGATCTGAGTGACTCTGGCGAACAGGATGGATTTTTCACCAGGCTACGAAACGCCTGTGATCCCGCTGCCTATGTCATAAAGGTGGGTGGTTTTTATTGCTCTTCTCTGTATGCTCTGGCCTACATATATCCAAGTCTTTCTTCTTTCACAGCAATATAGGGAACATCTACTGTTTAAGGCCATTGAGTGTCTTGTGGGTGCTGGACACAAGTCGGCGGCAGGACTACCCGCATCCGGCGGTGAAGTGGAATTGCAGCAGCAACAGCACAGCGGCACCATTGTCAGCAATGTCCTCAAGTATACTTCGCTGCTAAGAGAAACGCTCTGTGCCGATGAGGATGAACGCGATACAAATGTTGTGTGGTGGGCAAACATCTTGGAAATAGCAGTACACTGGCTCCTTGGCGAGGACACGCTCGCCGAACAACTATACGACAGCATCAAGCAGATGCCCGTGCAGCTGGAGCCAAACAATGACACAAATCATCTGCCCAAGGCCCTTCATGCGGCGATCGGTGCTAAAATGTTGTTGCTCATGTAAGTGTGTGAATATCGTCAAGGAGATTTAAGGTATGTTCAACTATTTGATGCAGGAACAATGGCAACACTCCTGACAAGCGGCTCAAGCGATCAATCAATAGTCTGTGCGATGAGGCCAGTGCACAGCTTCAGGAATGTTTGACCGTCAACCGGATCACCAATGCCAAGGGCATACAGCTGGTGAGAGAGTGTTACAATTTGCTTTTTATAGAAACACTCCCGGAGATGACACGCAGGTGCATTGTAGTCGCATTGTCTGTCCGTGTTGATCTTAGGCAATACAACTGCAGTGCAAGCTCTGTGCATTTCATAAATCAACGTTCACCCAATGTAGCTGGATTAAGTCTGGTTCCGGTTCCGGTTCCACTTCCAGTTCCGGTTCCCTGCCACGCTGAGATTTTATTCTAATTCTGTTCCATTCACAGCTATTCCAACTGCTCACCTGCGATTGGCTGCTGGAGACGTTGACTGCTTTGTGGGAGCTTGAGAACATGAATGTCGAGGATGATGGCTACTATCAGGTGCCTGGCGAAGTGCTCGAAAAGTTCCAAGTCAGCTTGAACTCTTTGCGCAGCATTGTTGAGAATATACCTGTAAGCGTTGAATAGTTCACATATTCCGAATATCTAGCAGAACATTTTTGAATTTTCCAGAACGCCCAATCGAGAATTTATTTGTATGAGGCCGTTTGTCGTCTAATGGCCGGTGCCTCGCCCTGTCCCACTCAGCAGCTGCTGGATAGGAGTCTACGCTCGCGCTATGCCCATGCGTCCATATTCTGTGGCAGCAAGGATCGACGGCATCAGAACTTCGAGGGTGGGGAGCGAGAGCGCGCCGCTGCCATGTACGTGGCCTGCAAATATCTGCCACCAGCTCTATTGAGTTCGCCTGGCGAGCGTGCTGGCATGCTGGCCGAAGCGGCCAAGACACTGGAAAAGGTGGGCGACAAGCGCAAGCTTAAGGAATGCTACCAGCTAATGAAATCACTGGGCAGTGGCATTGGCAGCGTGAAAGCTTAGTTTAAATAAGAGTTAAATTACACCCACATTAATTATGTTAGTGGATAAGTGTTGTGCACATTTCATTTCAAATGTAATCCAAAAGACCCTTTTGCAACTGGCATCCACCCCTAATTGTGCTTAGAATGTAACTGAGAGTAATCCAATATGCATAACAAAATTATATTTGTTTATTATATTACAATAATCACTAAACACATATTTATGTCAATAAATATTTAAACAGTTCTCTCAGTCACTTTGCCTCACAATTTGAAGCGATAATCGCTATAATTAAGACGCACTTTCTACAGGTACTTCAATCGTAACTCAAATAAATACAATTTAAAGTTAATACTGCACAATTTTCTATAAATACGTGTAATACATATAAGTGGGAGAACAAAGCAACAATGAGCCATTTACTAGTGGAACCCAGCTATTGGTCAATCGTTCTTAATTTTCTGGGTGAGTTTCTGTGTTCCCTGCTTTCAAATGGTAATACTTTAAGTCGGTTTGTATCCATTTAGCCCAAAAATATTTTGTAGATTCGCATGCCACTTGCGTTTTGTGGCATTCTGCATTTGATATACAACTGACAGGAGATGGATTTCTGCCCGTGATAAACATGGACTCGCAAACGTGGATTAACGGCGAGACTGATGTCTATGATTATGAGAGTAAACGACGCGAGTTTGAGAGGAATGGTATTGCCTACAACGATTGGATACTGAGGCTGACGGTTGCCATAGAATATTCCCATTGTGAGGTATGCATATGCTTTTATCTTTAGTCAAAGATTGTGTCACATCTGGAGTGTGTATCTGGTCGACAGTAATGGCAGACGTCATGGAAACCAAGCCGTAAATGTGTGTCATTTGTGAACAAATCATTCAACTGAAAAAGTAGAGATTTATAATACAGCTTTGATCTAGATTTTATAAAAGTTAACGAACCATTTGTTGATGCTCTTTCAATTTGATAAACGAAAGCGTCAGCAGTAGCTTCGTTTTGGACCCCAAACGAACGTCTCGCACATCGGAGAGAAATCTTGTCGCCTCAGAGCTGGTCATTTGCCAACGCTTGCCCAGCTTCAGATGCGCCAGCTTGCAGCAGCTGCTTAGGACCGACAGAAGCTGACAATTGACTCCCTTAATGGGATTAATACATTCTATGGCCAAGCACTCGAGTTCAGTTAGTAGACTTAATTTTTCAACAGCTTCCGATGGCCAATTATCACATTCGAGCGCTTTGATTCTCTTAAGTGCCAGTATGTGGTGCACTTGGGCCGCTCCAATACGAATCGACAGGAACTGCAGCTGCTCTAAGTGATCAGCATAGCGTTTGGCCAATGATCTGTAGAAATCGTTGTTCACTTCTCCAATCCAGCGCGAGATCATACGCAGAGATTTCAGAGATCTAAACTCTCCAATATCGGGCAGGTTCAAGTCGAAGTTCTCCAGCGTCAGATGTTCCAGCTGAGCACAATGGTCAGACACTTGGGGCAGCTGATATGTGCGTTTCAGGGCACGTCCAAAGTTCAACAAGAGCCGGCACAAATTCTCCTTGTTGTGGAACATATGCACGAAATTCTCTTCACTCAGATTGACGTCAATGCCATCCACATCTAGGGCTTGCAGTTCACCGAAATGTTGCAACTGTTGAACTGCATGGATCAATAATCTGTATCAGTGGGTAAGCAACACGGGGAAATACATACGCTGAGGTGCCCTGGCATCGATTAGCGTCAGGTTTCTCAGTCCAGGAAGCTCCATCAGCAGCTGCATAATGTTAGCGTGTCCATTTCTGCTGTCCCTCGAAGCGGGCGGTGTGTCCGTGTCCGAGTGCATGAATATCAGCACAAGTTGTTGCAAATTCGAACAGTTCTGGTTGAGCAGATCCAGAAATGGATGGGTGAAGGACTCATCCCAGCGGCCGTGAGGCACCTCACACCGCACCACACTGGAACCGCACAATTGCAGCATATATTCCCAATCCTGAATGGATTTCAGCATCTTNATCACATTCGAGCGCTTTGATTCTCTTAAGTGCCAGTATGTGGTGCACTTGGGCCGCTCCAATACGAATCGACAGGAACTGCAGCTGCTCTAAGTGATCAGCATAGCGTTTGGCCAATGATCTGTAGAAAACGCTGTTCACTTCTCCAATCCAGCGCGAGATCATACGCAAAGATTTCAGAGATCTAAACTCTCCAATATCGGGCAGGTTCAAGTCGAAGTTCTCCAGCGTCAGATGTTCCAGCTGAGCACAATGGTCAGACACTTGGGGCAGCTGATATGTGCGTTTCAGGGCACGTCCAAAGTTCAACAAGAGCCGGCACAAATTCTCCTTGTTGTGGAACATATGCACGAAATTCTCTTCACTCAGATTGACGTCAATGCCATCCACATCTAGGGCTTGCAGTTCACCGAAATGTTGCAACTGTTGAACTGCATGGATCAATAATCTGTATCAGTGGGTAAGCAACACGGGGAAATACATACGCTGAGGTGCCCTGGCATCGATTAGCGTCAGGTTTCTCAGTCCAGGAAGCTCCATCAGCAGCTGCATAATGTTAGCGTGTCCATTTCTGCTGTCCCTCGAAGCGGGCGGTGTGTCCGTGTCCGAGTGCATGAATATCAGCACAAGTTGTTGCAAATTCGAACAGTTCTGGTTGAGCAGATCCAGAAATGGATGGGTGAAGGACTCATCCCAGCGGCCGTGGGGCACCTCACACCGCACCACACTGGAACCGCACAATTGCAGCATATATTCCCAATCCTGAATGGATTTCAGCATCTTCACATTGATCTTGCCATACCGCGTAGGCAATATGTTCGCCAGCATTTGGTGGAACAAAATATGGGCGCGGCCCAGATTTAGTTGATCCTCGAGTGCAGTCAGATATGAAAGTATCTCCAAATAACAGTCGTAGTTTAGCTGGAGTATATCTGGTTTGGCCCTGATACCCTGCGTTCTTCCCTCCTTTCCACCAAGGAAAGAAAACGGACAGCCGAGTCCAAGTTTATCCATTATTATTTTGATTTGCTAGAATTTCCGAATTTTCCGAATTCTCTTCATACTCTTGCTATCGATAGCAGAACAGCTGATTGAAGACAATCGGAATAAAAACAGTTAATGCTTGCATTGTTGACTCTTTTTAAGACATTTTTAGCATTTCAAGAGCAAATACCGGACTTTGCTCGTTACTTTTATAATGCCAGCATTTATTCGATTTGGCGTTCGCCGCGGAATCGGTTTATATTTGCCTACACCGAGGAGCTGCTGCTGCAACATGAGGGCAATGACTTACTCCAAGGATACATATTTCACGGTAGGATGTACCTTTTCCATCGTTGGCCAATCATTCTTTTCATCTAATAATTAACAGATCAACCAAATGTGTTGCTGGTCAGCGCCCCATATCTGAACTCGAGCACATTTGACATCAAAACAAACCGCTTTGTGGGTCCGCGAGACTTTAACGACAAACCGGGGACGATTCAATTCAATTTGCTGCAACGCTACGACTCCCAGCTGCGGGAAATCATCTGGGAAAGTGGCACTAAAATGTCCAAGAAATTGCAGAATCTACAGGGTCGTGAAGTTTTCATTGGAATCTTTGATTACAAGCCATTCATGTTGCTGGATTATGTGAGTTGGATTTCCTTTTAAAAACTGAACTCAAATAGCAAATCGCTCAAGCCAGGAAAGACAGCCAACTGTTTACGATCGCGCTGAGGGCAAGACAGAAGTCTTCATCGATGGCACCGAAGTGCGTCTAATGATGATATTCTGTAAACTTTACAACTGCACAGTCCAGGTTGACACAAGTAGGTTATTCGTATTCGTTTTTGCCTTCTCAAGTTCACCTGACCCTCCTTCATTCTGTTTTCAGCTGAGACGAGCGACTGGGGTGATATCTATTCGAATGCCACGGGCTATGGTCTAGTAGGAATGGTACTCGATAGACGTAACGACTATGGCATAGGAGGAATGTATTTGTGGTATTATTCCTATACCATCCTTTGCCTATATCCATTAAAAATGTCTTTAACTAGGTACGAGGCCTATCAGCACATGGATATGACCCACTTTCTGGGCCGTTCGGGCGTCACTTGTCTGGTGCCAGCTCCCAAACGTTTAATCAGCTGGACCCTACTTCTGCGTCCATTCCAGGCCATTCTTTGGTTTTGTGTGTTGGTCTGCCTGCTGCTCGAGATACTCGGCCTTTGCCTTACCCGACGCTGGGAGCAATCGTTGCTGCCACAAACATGGATTGAAAGTCTACGGTTTGGCTGCGTCAGTACGCTGAAGCTATTCGTCAACCAGAGCACCAGCTATGTCACCACCTCAAATTCCCTGCGCACCGTGCTCTTGGCCAGCTACATGATTGACATCATTTTAACAACCGTCTACAGTGGCGGACTGGCGGCTATTCTGACTCTGCCCACACTAGAGGAAGCGGCCGATTCTCGACAGCGTCTCTTTGATCACAAACTGATATGGACTGGTACATCGCAGGCGTGGATTACCACGATCGATGAGCGTTCAGCTGGTGTAAGTCCCGAAGCAATGCATAATATGAGTCATGGTACAAATATCTCAGTTTGTAGCCAGTTCTCCTGGGCCTTATGGAGCATTATCGCGTGTTTGATGCAGCCCTGATCACGGCCTATTCGCGCTCGGAGCAAATGGGATTCGTGGTGGAACGCTTGCAGTATGGCCATTTGGGCAATACAGAATTAATTTCCAACGATTCGTTGGAACGATTAAAGCTAATGGTCGATGACATTTACTTTGCCTTCACAGTGGCATTTGTGCCGCGACTTTGGCCGCATCTGAATGCCTACAACGACTTTATTATGGCATGGCACTCCTCGGGCTTGGACAAATTCTGGGAATGGAAGATTGCCGCCGAATATATGAACGCCTATAGGCAGAATCGCATTGTTGCCTCCCAAAAGCAGAACCTGGAAATCGGTCCCGTACAGCTGGGCTTCGACAACATCATTGGCCTGATAATGCTGTGGTTCTTCGGCCTGATATGTAGCCTGCTGGCATTTGTGGGGGAAATATGGCACCACAAGCAATTTTAGATGGCAGTACTGTAAATGCTGTTGTTATTTTTGTATTAATACAAATTTATTTTCAGAATTTAGCCCGTGCTGTTTAGATGAAGCACCTGATCGCTGACGCGCGTAATTAAGGAATCAAGCTCGTTGTCTTGCAGATGCGTGCCCCACAGCTCGTACAGTGTTTGCCTGGCCAGTTTCACCGAGTTTCCAGTGTCTGTCGTGCTGGATGTGTGCAGCGTCAGAAAGATGACTGCGTCCGCGGAAATAGGATTGTAGGTGTCGCAAATCGGGTGCAAGGCCAGTGCCGAACTAGGTGGAATCTGCAGAAGAAACAAAACGTAAAGTTCAGCTTCATTGTCGGTGTATTTGCTGCTCCACTTACTTCATTGAGATTGACGATGAGAAATACATTGCCCTCTTTGAGTTTCTTCTTAAACTGCTCAATGGCAAATCCATAGTCACCATTTTTCGGTACAAAGTCATCTTTGTTCATGTGTATTGGCTTCCCCGGTCCACCTGTTGGTATCAATTGGAAATTTGAGTGTTTAAAGCATATGTTATTTGGTACATGTGCAACATACCAAAACAGCGCGACGCCTCAGTTGCAATATCGTAAATGAGCGTCTTTAGTTCCCCTTCTTGATGCAGAAACAGGAATACACTGGGTCGCGGATCTCGCTTGTTGATCAGCCCTTCAATTCCTGTTTGTAGAGCCCTCCATATCCCTTCCGATTGCTTTGGTTCGATACCGCGCAGCTTCTCAAAAGCACAGCTCTTCTCCGTTATAGTTATATTGCTATTTTGCCAGACAAGCATCGACAGTACAATCGGCGATAAGACGAACATTAGAGATACAATGCCATAAAAACGCCAGCTCCTCTGCTTGTCGGGCACTACATCTTCGCCAGTCTCGTTCTGGTCTTCCTCTCCCGATGAACCTTCCTCAAAATTTGCAGCTGTCTCCCGACTAAAGTCTTCATTGAAGGGGTATTCATTATCCTCCTCGTCAAAAGCATCTACAGAGCGCGGAGCAGTTTGTTTCGGGCTTTCTGGATTCTTAACTTTATTTAGACCCGGTCGCGCAGACATTTTAATTTGTTAACAAACTAATGCAATGCGGCTTACTATCGATAATATCAAAATAATATATATCGAAAGATCCTCAAATTAAATCGCAGCAATTTAATTTTACATTTAAATGCTTTATTTACAATAACATCTCAACTTTTTATGAAACGAACCCGGTTTCCACTATTAATATTTATTTTTATTATTACCAATTTTAATATGTACAGATAATATCCTCTATCTATGTATTTTGGACAACTAATACTACGCCAAGTAGATGACTATTTACTCAGCTGGTGGCACTGTGTTTAATGTCAGGCGCCGTAATCGGCCCAGGACAAAGATCTCGTCAATTGCTCGTTTGGCATAGAACTTTTGGTCTTCACTAGGCTTGCGATACTCTAGAGACCATGTTTGGGCGTATATAGAGGACTCTTGGGCTTCACTGACATCGAGGGACATCGACATGTCCGGCTGATTCTGTAGATGGGGATGGGGCTGGAGCTGCTGCTGGACGATGCAAGCACTGGCGAAGGCGGCAACGTCTGCGGCAGTGGGCTTCTTCTCAACCTCATCCTCAAACTGCTCCTGTTTTTCCTCCTTGCTCACCACCATCTCTGAGACAGCAGGTATACGTTCAGTTTCGTCATTTGCTGACTGTTTCTGCTCCTCCTCTTTGCTCGTGTCAATTTCGTTTTTGTGTATTTTTTGGCTTGACTTGCTTCCAAAGAGAAGTTGTTTTTTAAGATACTGCAGATGGCACCTGTGGCGACGTAGATTTGTCGTCGACTTGTGGGTAAACGACATTAAGCCTTTGCAGCCAGTGCAATACAATAGGTTCTCAAGGATTGTGCCATCCTCTTTCTCAATTTTTCGGTAAACGCGCCACACAGTGCTGCGCGTGCTCTTGTCGTTGACTGCAAGCTTGTAGACTCCATTTTCTATTTTTTCTCGAATATCTTCGGATCTAACTGGCATTGTGGTGGCTGCTGGGGCTGCGAGGGCTCGCTGGGGTTCAAACAATTCTTTGAGATTATTTTGTTATGATTTTTTTTTACATGCACCTGATAGCGATGCGCGGTGTTTACAGCACCACATATCGGCTTTGAATAAACATCGATTCGCACATTTACGATAGATTTGATCCACAGATGGCAACTCAGGCAACTGGCACGTTGCGCCGGCATTATACTATAGAATTTTGTTTTTATTTTAAAAAATCAGTTTTGCCTATTTTTGGTGCCTAGTTTCAATGGCCGTTTATTGCTTGGACTTTCTTGGCTTCCAGGTGAGTGCCGAACAAAGTTTATGTTGCTCAATTTTCCCATATAACAAGGCTATCAACTGATAACAGGAGGCGCTGAAGAAGATGCGAGATGTGGATGACAAAATTATATACGCTCTGAATGCACTTCCCACCGAATCCTTCAAGGGTCAAGTGGATAGCGAAAACACGTGCCGCGACCTTTATGCCAAATTGGAGCAATCGCACCTCACTCGGGTAACCCACATATATCTGGCGTTTTAGATGTAGGCGTCCGTAACTAAATGTGTATTTATTACTCGAACAGCAAGAGAAGATACGCAATTGCATAACACTGTCGGCGAATAGTCTGAAAAAACTCCGTGAGCAGCAAGAGGCTCAGCCCAATGATGTGGATACGAGTCGCCTCAGAGCTGGTCATTTGCCAACGCTTGCCCAGCTTCAGATGCGCCAGCTTGCAGCAGCTGCTTAGGACCGACAGAAGCTGACAATTGACTCCCTTAATGGGATTAATACATTCTATGGCCAAGCACTCGAGTTCAGTTAGTAGACTTAATTTTTCAACAGCTTCCGATGGCCAATTATCACATTCGAGCGCTTTGATTCTCTTAAGTGCCAGTATGTGGTGCACTTGGGCCGCTCCAATACGAATCGACAGGAACTGCAGCTGCTCTAAGTGATCAGCATAGCGTTTGGCCAATGATCTGTAGAAAACGCTGTTCACTTCTCCAATCNTTGATCCACAGATGGCAACTCAGGCAACTGGCACGTTGCGCCGGCATTATACTATAGAATTTTGTTTTTATTTTAAAAAATCAGTTTTGCCTATTTTTGGTGCCTAGTTTCAATGGCCGTTTATTGCTTGGACTTTCTTGGCTTCCAGGTGAGTGCCGAACAAAGTTTATGTTGCTCAATTTTCCCATATAACAAGGCTATCAACTGATAACAGGAGGCGCTGAAGAAGATGCGAGATGTGGATGACAAAATTATATACGCTCTGAATGCACTTCCCACCGAATCCTTCAAGGGTCAAGTGGATAGCGAAAACACGTGCCGCGACCTTTATGCCAAATTGGAGCAATCGCACCTCACTCGGGTAACCCACATATATCTGGCGTTTTAGATGTAGGCGTCCGTAACTAAATGTGTATTTATTACTCGAACAGCAAGAGAAGATACGCAATTGCATAACACTGTCGGCGAATAGTCTGAAAAAACTCCGTGAGCAGCAAGAGGCTCAGCCCAATGATGTGGATACGAGCAGCAAGTTCAAGGCAGAGCAGCGGAAGGTAAATTAACCATGGAATATTGTTTCTGCTTATAAATTACAATTATCTCTTATCTGCTCTATAGCTGAGGGTGCTGCAGTCAGAACTGTATGTGGAAGACATCATCAAGGAGCGGACGTACAAGGCATTCAATGAACGCTGCCGGGCTTACTTCCATGCTGGACAATGATTCGCAATATAAGAGTGCCATAGAGCGCAGTGCAGTGACTTGATTAGTTTTAAGCCTTAATCTTATGTGTAAACCATAGAGCAACCGCCTAAAAGACTTTACTGACCTGGTGGCATTTATGAACACTTGGAAATACATAAATGAACCCGAGAACATTTTATTTTTCATTCACTGTTAGGCAAGTTGTACATTTCATGTGCTGATTTGATGGAAATATCCTTCAATGCAGCCAACTGCTCGACTACTGTCTGGGTCGCATCCTTCAAATTGTTGTACTCGTGCATTAATTCCATTATTTGCTTTTCCCGTGCCACTTGTGAAGAGTCCGGGCGTTCGATTTGCTTCTCGACCTTTCGACGTGCTTTTCCTTTCGAATTTTTCATAATGTTTGCCTCCAAATCGAGTCTTGGCCCCTTGCCCAGACAATGCTCGCATTCGATATCTATTGCATCAGCTGTACTGCAGTCCTGCGCCATCTGGCAACTCTGTGCGCTAAAACGTGTGGCGTATCGTGCGTAAAATTTCTCATTGCTTTTCGCATGATTTAATCAAGCAAAGAAAGCCCTACCCTTCCACAGACAGGTAACGAAAGTGTTGATCATTAATAATTATGTAGCCAGTTATATTATTACAAAAAATAGTGACTCGACAATATGTGGGTGCAGCACGGGGGCTGCTTCTGACCTAAGCCCACGCACAAACACATGCATGCATACATACATTTTGCCATACACACAACACACAATAGAAATGTGAAAGTGTTGGGATTGTGCATATTTCTAAGAAAACTAAAAAAAGTTCATTAAACACGAATGTGCTTATCACTGTTTTTGGAAGAGCAACGTCATTTCCGTGCTCTTTCCTAACCAGAGCTGCCCATAAGGAACATAACAGGCAAGGCAGGAAGTATTTGGGCTTGGCAATCCACTAAAGTGTGGATTAAAGCAGACCGCAGTGACTGTTTATGTACATATGTATTTACATGCACAGATTAGATTCAGTTGGCTGAATATTTTGTTATACAGATACTAAGTGTCTGCTTTTGATAGAATATAATAAATAAAAATGATTTAAAATGTATGGTGGACATTTCCAGCTTCGTGAACTGAAAGAAGAGATCGCCATGTCCGCTACCCATAAGCAGCGGTATAAAAATGCCGCATTGGACTCGACGGAAATGCGTCGCCGTCGCGAGGAAGTTGGCATCCAGTTGCGGAAAACCAAGCGTGAGCAGCAATTGTTCAAGCGTCGCAATGTGGTGCTGGATCCATCCCCCACCGGAATGGAGAGTAGCAGCAGCAGTGAGCTGCAGGTATGCATTCTATATAATCTACTGTCTAGCATGGCCACTAAACGAACTCATACATCGCAGAACACCGACATGCAAATTGCGGACAGTACCACTGGGCCGCAGGGAATGGGCGCACAGTCATCGGGCCAGGCAGAGGCTGGTGCTGGAACAGGACCGCAACCATCGATTATTAACCAGGAAATGATACAAATGCTGTACAGCACAAAGGAGAGCGATCAACTAGAGGCAACGCAGAAGTTTCGCAAGTTGTTGTCTCGCGATCCCAATCCGCCCATCGAGGAGGTCATTCAGCGAGGCATCGTGCCCCAGTTTGTGACATTTCTAAGAAACAACACCAATGCCACTCTACAGTTTGAGGCCGCATGGACACTGACAAACATTGCGTCGGGTACATCGCATCAAACCAAGATTGTCATTGAGGCCGGGGCTGTGCCCATATTTATAGAGCTGCTGTCCAGCCCCCATGACGATGTGCAGGAGCAGGCCGTCTGGGCCCTTGGCAACATAGCGGGTGACTCGCCCGTATGCCGTGACCATCTGCTTAGCTCGGGCATCATGTTGCCACTGTTGCAGTGAGTAGAGAAGAGCTGTTGCTATTCCGGCAGAAAATATATATACCTTCATATTATTGCAGAGTGTTGAGCTCTTCAGAGCGCATCACTATGATTAGGAATGCCGTGTGGACGCTCTCAAATTTATGTCGTGGCAAAAACCCGCCAGCGGACTTCACTAAAATCGTACACGGTCTGCCCATACTGGCTCGCCTGCTCGACTACTCCGATGTGGATGTACTCAGCGACACATGCTGGGCCATCAGCTATCTGTCGGATGGGCCCAATGATAAAATTCAGGCTGTCATAGATGCGGGCGTTTCTCGTCGACTGGTCAATCTGCTTTTGTGAGTGATTGTTAAAATAAGATCCACTCAAATGCTTATGCAAATGCTCTTTGCTCTCTCTCTCATGGTAGGCATCCGCAGCAGAATGTCAGCACAGCTGCTTTGAGGGCTGTTGGTAATATTGTGACCGGTGATGATCAGCAAACACAAATGATATTGAGCTACAATGCGTTGCCCTGCATAAGCCAGTTGCTACACTCAACGACGGAGACTATCAAGAAGGAATCCTGCTGGACCATATCAAATATTGCCGCTGGCAATCGGGATCAAATTCAGGCGATTATCAATGCGAATATATTCCCACAGTTGATGAACATTATGCAGACGGCCGAGTTCAAGACGCGCAAAGAGGCCGCCTGGGCCATCACCAATGCAACCAGCAGCGGCACCTCAGAGCAGATCCACTATCTGGTGGAGGTCGGCTGTGTGCCGCCAATGTGCGATTTCCTCACTGTCATTGATTCCGATATTGTTCAGGTGGCGCTCAATGCTCTGGAGAATATACTTAAAGCGGGCGAAAAGTATCAAGTTCGACCCAATCCCTATGCCATGGCCATCGAGGAGTGCGGAGGTGAGCTGACTTTTCGTTTTAATTTTGTTTTCTATCCTAATGCTGCTTCATTTGTGGCTTTTAGGTTTGGACAAAATCGAGTATCTGCAGGCGCACGAGAATCGTGACATCTATCACAAGTCGTTCTACATTATTGAACAGTACTTTGGAAACGAAGAGGAGGACACCCGAGTGGCACCCATGGCGGGAAATCAACAGTTTGAGTTCAATCCACAGAATATGCCAGACAATGGCTTTAATTTTTAGTACCAGCAAAAGATGGGACACAAACAGACAGCAAAAACGCGATGGAAAGTTAGATGAGAGGGGACAGCAGCATAAGCAGCATAGGCAAGGCAGTCAGGCACATGTCTAAGTGCAGTCACTACTAGCATTTAAGTCAAGAATTTGTGGTCCGTCTTCAGATCGGCTCATTTCATTGGTTTGCTAAGAATACTCTCTTCCCTTATGATAGTTTTGTTTTTTATTATGGTTTATTATTAATTTGCAAGACGCAATTTGGTCCAGGACCAACCAGAAAGTGTTAACCCCTAGATAGCTACGTATATTATTATACACCCCCCCCCCCCCCCCCCCCCCCCCCCCCC